CAGAGGAACTAAGTCCCTATTATGCCCAAAAACAAAGAAATTTCATTTATCACCTACTAGTAAATAACAAAAATTACAACTAAAAGAAATAAAATTACAATTTTTGGTTTAAAGGAAAAACAATATTTTAACTATAATATAAAACTGTCGAGTCTGTTTTTGAACGAGTTGGTAGAAGAAGCGGAGACAATGTTATCGTTGAGGTTATTCCAGCACTCAAAAACTCTATTTGGAAGAAAGTTCTGTCTTTGTCTTATAGAAAAATTTTCTTTCTTTAGTTTATATTGATGACCTCTGAGGCGTTCATCTTGGTTTATGATAAATATCTCATCGAGGTTTCCAAAATTGAATTTTAGTATTTTGAATGTTGTAATTAAGTCTCCACGTTGTCGGCGAAGTTCAAAAGTAGTTAGATTAGCCATACTAAGTCTTTCTGCATAAGACGGTCTTCTCGGTCCCAAAGAAATTCGAGTGGCTTTTCTTTGAACGTTTTCCAACAGATTCTTGTCTCGAACCAGATCGGGATACCACGTTGGTCCAGCGTATTCTAGTATGGGTCTTACGTACAAAGTGTAAAGTTTGCAAAATGATTGCATTGAAACTCCCGAAAAACACCTCCGAATAAGATACAGTCTGGAGTTTGCACGTTTACAAATAGAGGTAATATGATCGGACCAAGTTAGGGTGCTGTTCACAATAACACCAAGATCGTTGTACGAAAACACAGATTCTAATGGCTGCCCGTTAACAAAGTACGGCACAAGTGGGTTATTTTTGCCAATTCGAAGCACTACACATTTTTCCGCGTTTAAGGGTAGTAACCACTGGGAACACCAAGTTAAAATAGAGTCCAAGTCCATTTGGAGGGTTAGCTGGTTTGTGTTTGGATTGGCATATATTTTTGTGTCGTCAGCGTAAAACGATATTTTACTTGAGACATAATAAGGAATATCGCTGGTGTAAACCGTAAAAAGCAGAGGTCCAAGGACAGAACCCTGAGGCACTCCACTTTCCACTAACCTGTCCTGTGAGAAAGATTCGCCAACTCTAACTTTGTAATATCGATCTGTCAGGAAATCATCTATCCAACGAAGTAAAGTACCGCGAACTCCGAAATGTTCTAGCTTATGTAGAAGTCTGCGCTTAGGTACACGGTCAAAGGCTTTAGAAAAATCTAGATAAACAACGTCGACCGGCTGCGAACTGTTAAGGGATGAGGTCCAGTCGTTAACACAATGTAGGAGATTGGTTAGAGTAGAGCGACCAGAGACAAATCCATGTTGTTGTGTTGGAATAACATGTTCCTGGAGAAGGAATTTGGTCATCTCCTCGGAAATAATGGCTTCCATAACTTTGGCAACTACTGGCAGCAAGCTAATCGGACGATAATTGTTGGGGTCGAGTTTGTTGCCTTTTTTAAAAATAGGGGTAACGGAAGCTAATTTCCAACTAGGGGGTAAGGAGTTTTGGATGAAAGAGGTTTGCATAATTAACGTTAAGGGTATTGCAAGCGTGTCTGCGCACCTTTTTAACAGTTTTGGTGTTAAACCATCTAAACCAGGTGAAGCGGCCGTGCGAAGTTTAATTAAGTGTTGTTTGACATGATCCACTGTGAATTCAACTTGCTGTAAGGATGCGCCGACACGATTACAGTTAACAGCAGGTAGATAACCATCATTTAATTCTTTAGTAAAAACCTGTGAAAATGCTAAAGAGAGAGTTTCGGAAGATTCTTTGTCAGAAGAGCATAAAGTCTGGTTGGATTTTTGAAGTAGCGGAATGGAAACTTTAGATGTCATGGAGGAACGTAGTATTTATAGACTTTTTAATGTTACCACTTTCAATAACGTTTGCTTCAAAATTTTGTCTTAGGGTTTTTAGAGATGTTTTTAAGTTATTTGAAAATGATGAAAATGAATCTTAAATGATTCGTTTTCTTCCATTAACATTTACTCCCTTATCTGCTCAGTTACTGTCTTTGAACACGTCTTCAAGTCTAAATGTGAATAGCTTTGGTAAGATAAGATCTCCCTGGCGAACCGCTCTGTAGATTGGTATAGCTTTGGTTTTTGTATTAATTTGTATTTTCATTGTAGCTTTCTTGTAAATATTGTGTATGAGCATTCTGTATCGGAAGTCTATCCTGCAGTTTTTCATAGCTCTCTGTATTGCCCAAAGTTCTATGCAGGCGAATGCCTTTTCATAATCAACGAAGCCAATATATAAGTTCAAGTGATATTCATTGGCTTTCTCACTTGCTCTACATACTTGCACTATACTATACCCTCTTTAAACTAGCTAATCGTTTTCTACATAGGCAACCAACCAACCAAATATTATTTAGTGAATTTCCTTTATTTATTCTCTTTTTCTTTTCTCTCTTAATACCTTGTTTTTGTTAGCTAATAATGTAATTTTCACCATTAAGTTTAATTTAGTTCACCTTATTAACATAGTTATTTTCATTCACAATTTTAATTATTATATAAAACAATTTTATTACATACTTATTGGGCTATCATCTGAGTGTTCGCCAATAATCCCCTTTTCACTGTTTTAAGGACCTGTGAAACAAAATTTTTACTTCTTCCCCAACCTAGTCAGTTGGCTGGTTCTAATAGTTGGACCAAGTCGTCCTTCTTTCGAGCAGGGAAAATGTTCCCTTTATGTGAAATCGTATAACATCGACATAGTGACATTAAATAGTTAAATTAACCATGATTGCCATATAATACAAGCGTTTCTACACCTAATTACGTACACTTCATCTAATTTATATACCGATGCACGTCATCGACGTCATAGACTGTGACGTCACATGATACCAACACAAAATATTTAGGGTGTAGGTGTGTCCTTTTTTAGAATCACTTTACCGAGTACACTGGCATTACAGCTACTAGAAATATTTTATTATATACGCGTAGAAATAATATTTCAAAACTTATATTAATGTTAACTTAAAGAAATACACAATAATATGTTTCATTTAATTTGTATAAATGCATTATAAACCGTTTTTATCAAGAACATTTGTTCGGAACACACTGTAACTGTATTTGAACGAAGGTAAAATTTTGGCATAAATTGGTAACACTTATTTGACAGTTGCGGTGTTGACACTTTTTGTACTTCATAATTTTGAATTTTAAAGTGAATATCTCTTGTTTTATATTTTTAACTATTTAATAAAATCTGTTCTTTTTAAAATTAGTATTTTATTTCAAAAATGTCAAGTAATAATTTAAATATTTACGTTGTAAAGAGATGGTAATACTTTTGCAATAATTATGTAATCTATTTGATTTAAAATGGAGTCAGGATTTTTTTATACTTTGGCAACTATGTTAACTTCGATCTCTGACGTAGATAATGACGTAAGTCGTTATCTAAATTAGATGAAGTATAGCTAGTTTTAACTTTTTTAAATTTAAGTATTCTCCACATATTTTGTAATTTTTAACGTGAAAATTTACTTTTAGATTTTTCAGTGTTGATGGTCCGGTCGGATCATCCGGTACGGCCGGACGTTTTGAAGATTTGTAATTATTTTGAATAAATTAAAGCTTAAATATTTTTAATAAAATATACTATTATACACAAGACTTTTTTACTTTTATTTAAGTTTTTAAACTATGGTATACAATTAACCACTGGGATTTTTTCATTTTATTATGTTTACATATCTTGGGGTAAAGCAAGCTTGGAAAATTACCACATGCAAAGGAACACAGAAATAACTTCGGAGTTTACACGAAGGGTTAAATAGTTCACATCTTAACAGTAAAACTTTGTTTAAAGTAATTAATATCTATGCATGTTCCACGCTTGACTATACCTTTGGTTTTGTTAAGTGGACTAAAACGAATATAAAAGTCTTGCTAAAAGTACGAACACACCTCATGAATACACAAAAATATCATCCTCATAGCACAGTAGAAAGAACGACATTACCATGATATTTAGGAAGAACTAGATTTATGATTATAAGTGAGCAACTAGAAACATATATTGCTAAAGATCCTTTTTTCGCATGCAGGCTGAGACATCCACTTTACATCACGCAATTTATGGAGTAGACGACAAAATAAGGCTTAAACTGTTAAATGTTGAAGATTTCTTACTGTCAATATAGGATCAGGTTTTTCCAATGAAAAATTAGCTGACATATCGTCAAAGAGTCTCAAGTCCAAAAAGACAAATGCCGATATTGATGTCAAGCCCGAGAAATCATTGAACATGTTGCCGGGACTGCCATGCATTTGCTGCAACTGAATATAAGACACGGCATGACTCAGTAGAAAAGATGTTTAATCATCAAATAACTAATAAACTAAAACTTTTTCAAAACAACCATCTCTTATATTATACGTTTCTGAGAGTATACTTGACAATGACAGCTATAAGCTATATTGGAACCGTACTGTGCTTACAGACCAGACAATGGCACACAATAGACCAAATATATAATACTATACAATAAATTAACTAAACAAGACTAACTGATGTGGCTATACCTAACAACATTTATATACAAATTAAATACAATGAAACGATTGCCAAGTATAGAGATTCAGAAATACCAATAAGGAGACAATTAAGACTGGAAAATATCCATATAGTCTCTTCACTAGTGATGTTATCCTTTAAAACATTCTAGAAATCATAAAACAGCTGGTCTAAGTGAATGTGTTTATAAGACATTCTAGAAAGCTGTATTACATTCGGAGTCCAGATATATACGAAAATTTTTGGGATATACTCAAGCATACCATAGGTTTCCATATTCCAGAGAGTCCCATTGGAGCTTAATTTTTTTAATACGGTAGATATCTGGGACAAGTAAATTTCCCCTTTAGAGAGAATAAGACCTGTATGGCTTAAATCCGAATATTGACAAAAGTGACAGTAATAATATTGATGATAATGCTGATGATGGTGAAAATATTATCATTATGCTGTATTTACAACTAAAATATTGTATCTAATCTATATTTTACCTGGAGGTTGATCCCGAAATTGTGGACAGCGTTCTATTGGTAACGCCTGATCGGTGTAAACAAATGCTTCACAAATTGAGAGCTGACTTGGAGTGGGAGCTTCCAGATGAACACTAACAAATGCTCCAGGCATTGGTGGATTGCAAGGAAGGAATAACGGTTGGCCCTCTTCCACAAATCCGGTAAATCTATTGCAGATTGGATTTGTTCCTAAGTCTGGTCTGTTGTTCCCTACCCTGACAATTATAGTAGCTGGTTTCTTGTTTCCTGAAAGTAAATTAAATTATCCAACTTCAGTATTTTTACTGTATATCTAAAGGCATAAAGAATTTTAAATTTAAATAGTAGCAGAACAGTATCAATTAATTTTCTTTATACATTATGATATTAAATAAAATAAAACTTCCTGTATTAAGGGAGTAATAACTTAGGCAAAACCGCCAGTATTTAGGTATTTTTTATAAATTTAAAGAAGCAAAACCTAAAGCAAACCAACTAAGCCTATTTCAAACATAGTTTATGAAATTTAAGTAATGTGAGTGGGAGTAATGGGAGTGAATGAGATTCGTGCATTGTCATGCACCAAAAAAAAATTACTAAATATTACATAATTAGGTTATTGATTATGTTACAAAATGTAGGGCTGAAAAATGGAACTATAATATTGTTTTTTTGTTCCATAACTTTTTTTCCACGAGGTAAAGGTATAGTTATTGCTTAACAAAAAAAATAGTTCTTATCCTTTTTCTTCTTTATATGTGATTCCAGAATTACATTGTTTGTTTATAGATAAATCACCTAATAGTCATCTGCATTTAGACAAGTAACTACCGGAGCTTTAGAGTAGAGTATATCGTTGTGAAGAGCCGTTTTAAAGAACTCGTCTCGAGTACGTAAATTCATTGGTTCTAACTCAAAAAATTCGTGCTGTTAGAAAATTTTTAATAAAGGACAGCATAGGTCCTTGAATGTTCCAATCGTGAAGTGTTTTTAATATCAGATGTCTCCATGTCCAGATGTCAAAAGCTTTTCTTATGTGCAGTAAAGATTTATGTGTAGCTGAATCAGTTAATATTAGATTGTCTGTTGTGCATGTTTTTTAATAGTTTGTAGGTACAGCAACTTTGTTTTGTTGTCTTTACTACTTTATTTGTTGTCATTCGGGTTATATGATGGTTCCATTCTACTCTTGTATTTCTTACCCAGTTCTTGATGTTCTCTACCTCTCATTTCTTTCCCGGTATTTTTGTTTCTGCATATCGTTTCATTCGGGCAGCATGCGGCTCTGTTTGTTCTATTAACTTGATCTCCCACTTGGTCTAATAACGAATTATATCAATAGTACGAAGAACTCTATAGCATATTATCATCATCATCACGTAGCGCTACAACCCTGAGTGGGTCTTGGCTGACTGTACAACTTTTTTCCAAATTTGTTAGGTCTTCCATCGACCTAGGGGAAATGGAATATTCATTTTCCGGAGATCTGCTTAGATCTCTCCATCGCATTCTGTAATGTCCGAGTGGTCTTTTGCCTGTGAGAATCTCCTCCCATACCAGTTTTACAAGTCTCTCGTTATGCAGTCTGTGCACGTGTCCTGCCCATCTTAGTCGCTGTGATTTAATTTCTTGGATAATATCGGCGTCACTGTAGAGTGCTTCTAATTTGATATTGGTTCTAATCTTATACTGGTTTGTGGTGGTGATGTCATGGTGAGGTCCGAAAATTTTTTTTGGTTTAAAGCTTTTGAGCTTTTCTTCGTTTGTTTTGGTGATGTTCCACGTTTTGCATTTTTTTGCATTTTTTGCATTTATAGATTTTGATCTTTGAACTTCTTGTAAGATTTTTTGATTTTATGAGCTTATTCAGTGCGAATAGACAACTGTTTGCAGATTGGATTCTGTCTTTTATTTCTTCAGTAATATCGTTGTCAGCTATGATTACGGCCCCCAACTACTTAGAACGTTGAACTCTTTTAAAATTGAAGGTGTTGATTGTCACATTTTGTCCTATTCTGTCTCTTCGTGTCGTTTTATTTATATACATATATTTCGCCTTCTCTTCATTCTTCAACCCTACTTCACTTGTTGCTCCTTCCACATTGTTGAAGATGTTTTTCGTGGATACGATGAAGTCTCCAACGAGATCTATGTCATCTGCATATGCGACTAACAGCTTGCGACCTTGAGCCGATAGCAATTCTGTTTTTATTTTGGCCGACCTCATGGCTTTTTTAATATAAGGTTAAAAAGTAGTGGAGATAACGCATCACCCTGTTTGAGTCCACGGTGGATTTCAAAGCTGCTAAACAGTTTATTATTTACACGTGCTTTAGATATTTCACCCTCCATACAAACTTTGGTCATCCGAATGAGTTTATTTGGTATTGAGAACTCCGACATGGCATTCCATACTTGCTTCTTTCTACGCTTTCATATGCCTGTCTAAAGTCTATGAAAAGATTGTGTATGGGTCTCTTTTACTCCCCTCCCTTTTCTAGAAGTTGTCTCTGCGTAAATAGTTGATCTATTATTGATCTTTTTGCTCGAAAACCGGCTTAATAATCGCCTAGGATATTTTCAGCATTAGGAATTAATCTACTAAGAATGATGTTTGGGAGGGTTTTATATGCTGTGTTTAGGAGTGAAATTCCTCTATAATTCGCGCATTTTGTTTTGTTGTCTTTTTTGTGGATGTGCCCTATTATGTTTTCCTTCCATTGTGCTGATATCCTTTCTTTCTTCTATAGCATATTATGTAAAAATACAAAGATTGTGACCGGCGCAGGACAGGTCACCTTATAAAAATGAATAATAAAAGAGCATCTAGTAGAACGCTTAGTGGAAGTATGATGGGACATCGGCCTATAGAAACACAAAAGAAGAGGTAGATGGATAAAGTATTAACATTTGCTTAGAAGATATTGACAGCGGATAACCAAAAGAGAGCAGTTTAGGAAAGGGGTACTTGGAGACGATTGCTGGGGGAGGCCAGGGCCCGATTTTAATTTTAGTGCCATAGAAGAGGAAGATTTAACGTCTACAGCGATTTTATCTTTCCAGAAGCTCTATGGCAAGCTGTGGAAAGTCCTGTGATGATGTAAGTTTAATTATTAGTAGTAGATGTCCCAATAGTACTGTCATTTTTGCAAATGACTTAGAAAAATTACAACATACTACATGTACATAACACTTGCGAACATTAATTCGTAATACAAATGATGAAATAATTATTTTTTATCATCTAAATAAAAGAAATATTTTTTATCCACATTATATATTTGAACCTAAACTTAAAAAATTAAGTTAAATTTTAAAATTGACCATTTTTAATAATGTTGGTAATCAACAAAAGAAACATTCACTTATAAAAACAAAGTAAAAATCTAGCGCAATACAACCGCAACTGAAAATTAGCTACGATAGTTTTAAATACCATAAAAAGACTATTCATTTATAAATTAATAGCTTATTAATTTTTAACTTAAGAAATTATATTTGCTCTATTTAGAGTCTGGTGTTAGTTAAAAACCATCAAATTGTTGTAATGAATTAAATATTTTATATACGGGTATAACAGATTAATTACGAATACTTTGCATACTTACATTACTCAAGAACCATAAGACTGTTGTGATTAACAAAAGTGTAACGAAATAAAAGATTGCATTACATTTTAATACGAATTCAATTATTCTCATCAGGAACACTTGTGGAAGTTCAAACCGAACTGAAATGCCGTTACAATTTAAATAAGAGCCCATTTATATGAAGTAAAAAGAAGTCGGTAGACCTCTTTTTCGATAGAAAATTAGCTGAACCTCAAATTGAAAGCCCCTTACTGGAGTCTGTTGAACGAAACTAGGAATAACCTTTTACTCCGACATACATCTACAGTTCACCCCTGAAGAACACTATCTTTTTTGCTCTTTACGTAGAGAAAAGATGTTAAAATGAAAGTAAAAGATTGCATTTCATTTTAGTTCAAATTCCACAATTGTTCGACATGTGTTTCGAGTTAGTCAACTCCTCATCAGCAACACTTGTGGAAATTCAGACTGAAATATTATGCAGTCTAGTGTTCAGCCATTATAATTAAAATAACAGCCTGATACACTAGCAACGGCATCTATGCAAAGCAAAAAGATTGCATTTTATTTCAATTCAAGCAATATTTAGTATTAAGATCATGTCAGCCATCCAGTTTTTAAATGTTTTATTGACTTCGAGAAGGCATTTGATTAAGTAGCACATACTAAATCTTTTCCATTATTTATTTTCAATAAAGCAATGGATACTGTTCAATGTGGTATCAAAATTAATGGCATCAATATTGATAATTTAAGGAACGAGAATGATACGGTGTTAATTGCAAATAGTTACAAAGAACTTAACATCTGATTAATAATATGATTACCACAACGTGTAATAAATATGGATTAAAGCTAAATACCACATATACAAGGGTAATGGTTGTCAGTAAAACGCCAATACAACCAGAAATAGTAACATCTTATGAAAAAAAACTGGAAAGAACTAACAGTATTTCTTATCTTGATTGTAATCTAAATGAGAACTTAGAAATAAGCAAAGAAATTAGAATACCTATAGAGAAACCAAGAGCTGCATTTTTTAAGACTAAAAAATTCTTATGTGGAAACAATATTACTTTGATACTGAAAATTAGATTAGTAAGATGTATCGAAGGTTGAACTTTAACATATACATTTCTAAGAAAACTTTACCTGGAAAAAAAGTCTTTGAAATCGGATATCTTGGAAAATTCTACGAATAAATTAGATAGAAAGAGTTCGTAACAACGTTGTTTTGCAGCTAGTGTTAAGTGATTAAAACAGTTAAGAATCGCAAACTGGCTTATGTTATGCGTCACCCAAAGAGATGTAATATACTTAATTTAATACTACAAGACAAGATAGATGGAGGAAGTAGCCCAAGTCAAAACAGAACGCCATGGTCTAGAAGCCTGAGATAATGGTTTGACAGAACCTCTCCATCCCTTTTTTAAGCTTCCGTCAACAAAATTAGTATAACTAATTTATGTTGATAATTGAACTGGGCACAGAAAAAAAATTGACAGAAGCACAGAAGAAGATGTTTTCGATAACGTGTTAAGACAAACTTACTTCAAAACAGCTTTAAGGTTAGCAAGACCAAAATTGTTGGACAAAATAAGGCCATAAAGATTGAACAAATTATTTCAAGAGACGATACCGAAAAAAAATGTTGGAATTGTGGCAAAGTATGAG